TCATGCCTGAGAAGGTGTCCTACCAACCTATCTCGCCTATTTTTTATTGACTTCCATAGAGTCCTCTGTTCTCCTATTCTTTCTAATACCTCTTCATTTCTAACCTTCTCTATTCACGGTATCCTCATCATTCGCCTGTAACACCACATTTCGAACACTTCTAACCTTTTCTTTTCCACCGCGCCCACTGTCCATGTTTCGCACCCGTACAACGCCGTGCTCCAAACATACACCATTAACAACCATTTTCAAATTTCTAAATTAACCGTTCGCGAGCATAGAAATGACTTCTTTTTATTAAAGGTGACACAACCCTGCGCTATCCTCTGCTTTATATCTCTGCTACTCCTTCCATCCTGGCTTATCTGACTTCCTAGGTGTCTAAAATCAGCCACTTCTTCTAATTTTTTGTCTCCTATTTTTATATTTATGGTTACAATTAGATTTAAAAAAATTGAAAGCTCATGTCAGGTTTACCATTATGAAAAACCTTTGCGATGTATGATTCATGTCTTTAAAACCACTATCTGTATTAATCATTCATGATAGTAAAAACGTAACGTGTTTCGTTACTCAATCGCTTTGGTGTTTGGCGCTTCCCAACAATTAGCAATTTGCGACTAGTAACAATTGACCTTTAAAAATAGACATATACATGTACCTCTATATCTATTTACAAGCATTTGCTTAGTCAACCTGCAAAAAGTAGCGGCGTTTCTGGAAGGCCAGCATTTCGCTCGCTGAACCGAAACTGTTTTTTTATTATCTCCTTTTATGGATGCGTTTGATACAAATGGTTAATTATATCTATACAATTTGGTAACGGTTATTCAATTTCATAGCACACTACGTACAACTATTTCTACTACTTTATTTGGCACAAGTAGTTCGAATGGACTTTTAGTAAGTCAATTATTTTAATGTCACCATTCCATTGAATGATCCGGAATTACGAGGGTGGATTGATAAGTTTCCGGCCTAACCAAGAGATGACGCCACTAGGCCTACCTTGAGGTGACATTCTATAGTACCATCCTTGGATAGCTTGTAGCTATAGTTTCAGCCNCTTTTTGACTTTTTTCACACATAATAAATAAATTTACGTGCGCATATTCTTGAAATAAAAAAAAAATAAAATTGCCTACCTTTGAGCATCAGCAAAAACAAACTTCCGAAGCTTAAGATCCCTTAGAACAATTCCATTCCGATGACAGGCCTGAACGGCTTCGGCGATTTGCCTGAACAATTTTCTCGCCTCCGATTCCCGAAGTCTCCTCCGGGACCTGACGTAAGAGTGCAGGTCTCCGTGAGCTTCAGGGAACACTAGGTATAGGTAACGACTACCTACCAACACTTCGTGGAGAGATGACACCCTCGGGTGCGAATCTAACCGATAATGAGCCGACACTAACGAATGGCAATCTCTAGACACAACCTGAAAAAAAATGTAAAAAGACGTTAGTAGTGATCATACTTTTTTAATTTTTGTATTTAATCAATGGTATAGATAATTTTTAGAGGTAGGTGGTAGGTATTGTCCAAATTTGGATGATAATACAGTGGAATTCGTTTATTATGACTCCGCCTATATTGACCAACCGCTTAATATGAAGTAACTGCAGTGTTAAGTTTGGTTTTCATTTTAAATTCTCTATAGAAAAGTTTGGATACAACGACTCCGTTTAAAATGACATATCGTTTATTATGACTAATTCTCAAGAAATCATATCCGGCTAGAGTGACCCAAATGATTAATAATAACATTTTCGCTCATTTTTCTGACCCTTCTTATGTATATTGATATTACAATTCATCGTTCTTTTTCTTTTTCTGTTAATAAATATATACAATTTGTAGTTTTTTCTCTATTAAACTAAATAACTAACCAAAATAGAAAGTTGTTTATTTTCTAAGACTATGCTTTGTATGACGCCCGCTTAGTATGACGTGTTTGTCATTTCC